CGCCCCCGCGCCCCCGGGGGGCGGTAGCCAGGCAACGCCGGGCGCACCCGCCCCTTCCCCCTGCCCTTTCTCCCGGGCCGGTGCGCGGGAGCATGCCCGGGGGCGCGCCCCCCTCTCCCGCTAGGCGCCCGCCCGCGCACGCTATGGCCCCCCGCCCCAGCCCGGGGCCCGAGGTCCCGCGCTCGGGCCACTGACCGACGCCCCGGTTCCCGCCCCCGCCTCCCTGCCTGCCAGCACCATGGGATGCAGTATGTGCGTGGTCCAGAAACCGGAGGAGCAATACAAAGTCATGCTTCAGGTAGGGTGGCCGGGAAGCGCGGCAGCGGCGGGAGGCAGGTGGCGTGGGCAGGCGGGCGAGGAGGGCGGTGGGGCTCTCGGAGGACACAGGTAGGGAGCCCCCACTCGGGGCTCGCGGGGTAGTAGCGCTCCGAGGGAAGCAGGCACGGACGGAGGGGGGGAAGGGGCGTGCGACTTGGGCCACCGGAGCCCTTAGTCCACATCGCCCTGATAGGAAGTTGGGCTTGGCCGGGGTGGTCCTGGCGCTCTGGCTCTGAAGGGAGTCATGGGCGCGGCGGCGTGGCCGGCGCGGGATGCAGTTTGCATAGCAACGGGCTGGGGCCCCGGCAACGCTCTCCTTGCTGGACCCAGAGCCGGGGAGCAGCTGGAAGCCCGCAAGCGTGGGGTGCAGAACCGCATGGTGCCCTGGACATCGTCCCGGGGATGAATGGTCACTCCTGCACCCCAGCCCAGGTCTGTCCCTGCTCAAATCGTGGTCTCCAGGGCTTTGGGCATCTCGGTACAATGGCTTGAGCCACCCAGGTCGGGGCTTCCCATGCCCGTGCTCTGCCAGGGGCCAAGCACCAGGCAGGGAGCCTCGGGGACCGGGAAGACCCCAGGCCCCATACTCCCCCGGGGCCCCAGCCCTGCAGCCCTTCTTGTGTGTGGCGTGACTTCGTGAGTGTGTGCCTGTGCCCCGTCTATGTGTACTCAGAGGCTCTCCAGCCCCGTGTGTGTGTGTGTGTGTGTGTGTGTGCGTGTGTGTGTGTGTACTTTCTGTATGCACCCAGCGAGGTGTCTAGAGAAATGTGTCCCACTCTGTGTGGCTAAGTCCCAGGAGGGCAAGGTCAGAGGAAGCCAGGACCCAGGAACACATTGCAGACAGGTATGCGTGTATGGCTCCTGCTCAGGGCTGGTGGGTAAGCAAGCTCCAGGTGGAGCTGTTGGCTAGGGAGGAGGAGGCAGCTCCCATGGATGGAGGCACTCCCTGCGGGTGTGGGGACAGAGTGCAAAGGAACCAAGATACTGGGGTGCCTCCTGGGAGCCCAGCGTTCCTGCTGGGAGCTCCGCTTCCCTCTGGGGAAATGAACAGGAGGCAAGAGCTGCCTTGAGATGGTTGGGAGTAGCATACAAGTCTGATCGGGCTGGGGATTTAGCTCAGTCGTTCCGATGCCTGCCTCGCATACAAGTCTGGCTCCAGCTTGGTGGCACTTCTGGTCCCTGTCATTGGCCCTTCCCTGGCTTCTCTCCTGCCCTCTGCCACCTTCCCCAGCGACCCTCACCTCCTGGCTGCTGCTTGTCTGCTCCTGCTGTTGGAAACCTTGCTGGCCACTGCCATTTCTCTAGAGGGAGAGGTCTGGAACGGCCCAGGTTGGAAGCATGGAATCCTGGCCTCCTGCTTGGATGACAGGGACCTTGGACCTGTCCTCATCCTCAAGGTTCCTTTCTGGAGTCACCCACCCAAGGGCAAGCAGTTCTGAGAGCAGCCTTGGCTTTCTTGGAGAGGGGCCCAGGTCATGCTTCCTGGAGGGCTCGCCTCAGGGACAGTGGAAAGGGGAGGACCCTTTTGCCCCTGGCCCAATTGAAGCTGGGATGATTTTCAAAGCCAACCCAGCCTTTAAGATTAGGGAAAACAGGGCCAGGGATTTAGCTCAGTGGTGCCCCGCCTGCCTCGCAAGCACAAGGTCCTGAGTTTGATCCCTGGTACCAAAAAAGAAAAAAACAAGGGCCGGGGATTTAGCTCAGTAGTTCCACTGCCTGCCTTGCAAGCGCAAGGACCCAAGTTTGATCCTCTGTACCAAAAAAAAAA